GAAATAATTCTAAACTTGAAAATATGTATGTATTTCAACATATTTCTTTGTTCTTAGATTCAGTAGCACAGGGACACAGTTTAAAGATGGATTTATTTTATTGCTTGCTTATCTGTGTGTGGGGCCACATGCCAGTCTTCTTACATCACATGGTCACATCCACTTGCTGCTCTGATCCCCGGTCAGAATTTCTCAATGGCAGAGGCTGGTTTTACATGTTCCTCTCTTTCCAGGACCTGGTTTGGGGTCTGACACCCTTGGGGTGGGGGGCATAAACGTTTCTTGAATGAGTCAGCGGAAGCGAGCTAGAACATTTTAACCCAACTACCCAGGGAAATTCATATTCACCGCCCCGCCCCTCCCCGGAGAGGAATGATGGAAGATTCAAAAACGTGGCTTTTTTCCTGGGGTACATTGACTGTTTTCTTTGTTTAGTTTAGTATGGGTTGGTTTCCATTTCCACTGAGGACAACTTTAAAGCTCTGAATGGGTGTGGAGCAGATGAATACCCAGCAGGGGTAGAACCAGGAAAATGGAGCTGGCACCTGTAGTGAGTGCAAGTCCTCTGACTCGCCACAAGTGTGGAAGGCTTTACAGGGGGTACCAAGCTTCACTCTGACCTCAGTGGTCGGCTGTTAAAATCAGGGTCAAGTACACGTTCACAACGGTTTGACACTCATAGTGGGTAAGTAATAATGATGCCAAATAACCAGTAGAGCACTTCCTTAATGTGGGACCCCTGGTTCTGAGTGCCCTGTGTATGAGGGAGTCTTTACTATCGTCTTACTTTGCAGATTAAGAAATGGAAGCACAGAGATGTGATTTGCCTGAAGTCACATCAGCAGTTAATGCACATCTGGGGTTCATGACACAGCCTCGCTCTAGAGCTCACAGGTTGCTGGACTTGAGGGATGATGAATAAAAACACACAGTTCATGCGCTTTTGAACAAATAGCGCACAATTCAAAAGGCTTTAAAAAGGTCATTCAACCAAGTCTTTCCCTCTTTCTCATCAATAGGTGACTGTTACTAGTGTCTTTCACCTCTTTCTCACTGTATCTGTCAGAGTTTTCTCTTTGGAGAACCAATGGGGGACTGATATGTATGTAGATGTATTAATATGTAGGTATTGATATAGCTGTTTCAGTCTCCTGTTGGTTATATATGTGTCTGTCTATATCCGTCTATCTAGGAAGAGTCTTATTTTCTTAACTTTTTATTTTATATTTGAATATAGGTGATTCATGGGCTTCCCCGGTGGCTCAGTGGTAAGGAATCCTCCTGCCAATGCAGGAGATGTGGGTTCCTTCTCTGGTTTGGGAAGATCCCCTGGAGAAGGAAATGGCAACCCACTCCAATATCTTTGCCTAGGAAAACCTATGGAGCTTGGTGGGGTACAGTCCATGGAGTCGCAGAAGAGTTGGACACGACGAAACAACAAATGTCCAGCTAACTATTTTGTGATAGTTTCAAGTGAACAGCCAAGAGACTCAGCCATACATATATATGTATCCATTCTCCCCCAAACTTTCCCCCCATCCAGTCTGCCACATAACACTAAGCAAAATTCCCTGTGCTATACAGTAGGTCCTTGTTGGTTATCCATTTTAAATACAGCAGTGCGTACACATCCATCTCAAGCTCCCTAACTATCCCTTTCCCCCAGCCAGGAAGAGTCTTATAATAAGGTATGGATTGGCTCATGCCGTTACGGAGGCTTGAGGAGCCCCAGGAGCTGCCATCTATAAGCTGCAGACCCAGAAGGGCAGACGGTATAGTTAGAAGGCCAGAGAGCAATGGTGTAGACTCCTGTCCAGCCTGAAGCCTTTAGAATCAGAATTGTCAAGTGCAGGAGAAGATGGACATCCTTGATCAAGTTTTCAGGCAGAGTTAATTCAATTAATTAAATTCCCCTGCCTCCTTGCTCTATTTAGGTCCCCAAGGGATTGGAAAAAGCTCACCCACACTGGAAAGGGGGCTATTTGCTTTACTCAGGTCACCAATTCAGGTGCTAATCTCTTTCAGAAACTCTCTCACAGATATACCAGCTATCTGGGGATCCCATGGCCCGTTTCAGTTGACACAGAAAACTAACCATCACACACTAAGGACAAACACTCTTCAGTGCGTGGGTGCGTGGGTGCATACTAAGTTGCTTCAGTCACGTCTGACTCTTTTCGATCCTATGAGCCCACCAGGCTCATTTGTCTATGAGATTCTCCAGGAAAGAATACCGGAGTGGGTTGCCATGCCCTCCTCCAGGGGATCATCCTGACCCAGGTCTCCACCATTGGCAGGCAGATTCTTTATCACTGAGCCACCAGGGAAACCCCCGCTCTTCTGTAGTTGGTTCTAAATCTGCATCAAAAAAAGCTTCCTTTTAACCTTTTGCTGACTCAAGTTGTTTGCAGTCTTTTGCTATTACAACCAATGTTGCAATGAGTAACAAATAGCTGTGCCTGTGTCCTTTTGCAGAAGTGCTAGCAAGATTATTTGTTGGCTGAATTCCTAGAAGTGACACTGACAGGTCAAAGGCTGTGTGCCTTTGTGATTTGATGTATATTTCAAGATTTCCCACCTGTTACAACAGGTTGTAACAATTAACACTCCTGCCAGGAATGTTTGAGAGAGTATTTCCCCATGTGCCTACCAAAATAGGTATACTAGCAAACTGGTGGGTGTTTTTGTTGTTCTTTGTTTTTTAGCTTTGGTGATCTTAGGGGGGAAGCAGTTAACTCAGTGTTTTTAAATTTTTGATATCTTATATAACTAAGGGCTTTTAGACTTTATTTTTTTAAGATTTTTTTTTTGATGTGGACCATTTTTTAAGTCTTTATTTAATTTGTTACAATGTTGCTTCTGTTTTACCTTTTGGGTTTTTGGCCACAAGGCTTATGAGATCTTAACTCCCTGGCCAGGGATCAAACCCATACATCCTGCATTGGAAGGTGAAGTCTTAACCACTAGACTGCCAGGGAAATCCCTAGACTTTACTTTTTGAGAGCACTTTTAAGTTCACAGAAAAATTGAGGGGAAGGTAAAGAGATTTCCCATATAAACTCTTCCCCACATGTGTATAACCATCTCCATTGTCCATATGCCTGCTTCCAGAGTGGTGCATTCCTTACAACTGGTGAACCTACCCTAACACATCATTATCACCCAAAGGCCATAGTCTGCCTTGAGATTCACTCTTGGTGTTGTATATTCTATGTGTTTAGACAAATATAGAATGACATGTACCCATCATTATAGCATCACACAGGGCATTTCACTGTGCTTTACCTGTTCATCTCTCCTTCCAACCCCTGGCAACCACTTAACTTTTTACTGCCTCCATAGTTTTGGGCTTCCACGGTGGCTCAGAAGGTAAAGAACCTGCCTGCAATGCAGGAGACCCGGGTTTAATTCCTGGGTTGGAAAGATCTCCTGGGGAAGGCCACGGCAACCCACTCCAGTTTTCTTGTCTGCTGAATTTCATGGAGAGAGGAGGCTGTTGAGTCAAAGCCCATGGGGTTGCAGAGTCAGACACAACTGAGTGACCAACACTGCTTCTATACTTTTGCCTCTCCAGAAGGCAAAGGTTATGCAGCCTTTTCAGACTGACTTCTTTCACTTAGGATTTTGCATTGAAGATTTCTTCATGTCTCTTCATAGCTTGAGAGCTCATTTCTCTTCAGCACTGGATAACATTCCATCGTCTAAATGGGCCACACGTAGTTTATCCACTCACTCCCTGAAGGGTATCTTGGCTGCTAGCAAGTTTTGGCAGTTATTAATAAAGCATTAAACACCCACATGCAGGTGTTTCTGTGGATGTAAGTTTTCAGCTCCTTTGAGAGACTGTAGGATCCTGCAGTAAGAGTTTGTTTAGTTTTTAAGAAACTGTCAGACTGTCTTCCGAAGTGGTGGCACCTTTTTGCCTTCTCCCCAGCTGTGACTGAGAATTTCTGTTGCATCACATCCCTGACAGGACCTGCTGTCAGTGTTGTGGATTTTGGTGGCTCTGTTGTTGTTTAGCCGATAGGTCGCATCTGACCCTTTTGTGACCCCATGGACTGTAGCCCACCAGGCTTCTCTGTCCGTGGGATTTCCCAGGCAAGAATGCTGGAGCAAGTTGCTGTTGTTCATTCTAGTATGTACGTAGTGGCATTGAGATTGCTTTAAAACCAGCTGTGATCACAGCTGTTGTTCTTATGCCTTGGGGGTGTCCAGCCATGGGACACTGCGGTAGGGCAGAGCAATCTGGTTGCAGCCCTCGAGGATCATGCCGAGGGGCCGCGCAGTAGTCCGAGTTGAGAGTGTGATAAACATCGTAAAGGACACAGATGGCTGCTGAGACGGTGGCGAAGGGCTGGGTGTGGGTCACCTGCTGATGGGGAGTCCTTGTGAGCAGGGGTGAGGTCCGAGGCAGAGGGGCAGCGGGATTTGAGCCCCTTGGAGGGGAGAAGAAGCTCAGTCTGTGGGGGCTGAGTGGGTGGGAGGGAGCTTAGAGATGGAGGCAGGGGCCAGATCGTGGTGCAGGCAGTGCTGGGGCCATGATGAGGAGTCTGGATTTCATTCTGAACTTGCCAGTCACAGGCTGGGGAGATGGTGCCCGCGTGTGCCCAGCCTTACCTCCCAGACCACAAGTGGCCACCTGTGTGACATTAGGGAGACCCAGTCCCCCTGTGCAAGTGCTGGGGGACGTTGTTGTATTTACAAGAGAGTGGCAGGCTGGCACCCAGGACACGGCACTCTCTCGCCCAGCCCTGAATTCCTGGGTGTGTGACAAGTGACAGGTGCTCTGCCTGAACCTGGCGGCACAGACATTCCACAGAAGCACCCACTACCCTCCCAGAAACGAAACTCGTGCACAAGGGACATGCGTGGCATCTCAGCTTTTACTAAACAAACCAAGGGTTTTAAGAAAGGGTTCGTGAGTGTTTAGTCCAGGCTGAGCCTTGTGCTCAGTGCTTCTAGGGATGAGAGGAGGAGGAAGGGAAAGCCCAGAGAGGAAGATGGTGAGCAGTGGCTTCCAGTGCAGTTTCAAGACAGAATCAGGAGGAAGGCAGGAGGGGGAGGTGAAGAGGCCCAGGCGCTTCTGGCTCCAGATGAGATCGGAGGCCTTGCAGAGCACGTGGGAGCTGCTTGAAGGGCTCGGCTTCTCTTCTGTCCTGCTGTGGAGGAGCAGGTAATGTGTTCTTTCTGTCTTTACAGGTGAAGAAAGCCCTCTTTCCTCAAGGCCACAGGGTAGGCCAAGGATGGACCTGGGACTGGCCCCTAACTCTGAGCTCCCTGGGTGCCCAAACAGATCAAAATCCCTCAGCCTCATCACTGGAGGAGGGCTCTCTCTCTGTAGCTTGCATCGTCTTTCAGTCTGGCCTCTTTGGTTCCACTGTTATGGGGCTGCTCTGTTTCTGAACCTGGAGTGTTGGCAGGACCCTGCCGAAGGGCTGGACCGCACCCTCAAATGCCTGATGGTGAGGCTCGAAGCTCAGAGATGCTTCCATCTTGTGGAGAAACACAAGGAACTGAGGCCAGGTGTTTTTGGGTGGGCTCTCGGGGTCCTCCCTAGGGCACACTGGTCCTTTGTGGCCAGAGCAGAGTGGGAATTAGTGTATGTACATGATGTGTCTGGAATGAAGGCTTTAGGAACTGCTGATCAAGAAGATGTATTCAGGGATGCAGGTTTCCATGGAGATAGGACTACCTGGGCGGGAAGTCAGACAGCTGGGAGATCAGTTAACATCTCAGAGAGCTTTGCCTCCTGGTCCAGAGAGGGGAGGACAGGGTTTGTTCCTGAGGAGAAGGGACTTTGCAGGTGAATTCCAGGTGCTTGACCCAGACAGAGTGGCCCAAATGAACACAACACAGGGCAGAGGTTGGGATTGTCTAGTAATAAAATGTTAAATAGTCATTCAATCCTATCTGACCCTTTACAACCCATGGACTGTAGCCTGTCAGGCTCCTCTGTCCATAGAATTCTTCAGGCAAGAATACTGGAGTGGGTTGCCATTTCTTTCTCCAGGAGATCTTTCTGACCCAGGGATAGAACTCAAGTCTCCCACATTGCAGGCAGATTCTTTACCATCTGAGCCACCAGGTACAAGATGGTGGCAGTCAAAGCAATGTGTACAAAGGACAAGTCCAGAAACATATTTATAAAGCTGGAACTGCATCTGTACTAATTGTAATTGAAATCACTATTTTAGGATTCATAGACTTTTAGGCTTTTTCTGATATCTGTGTTCAATCTGTCTATGACAATGATATCACCAGCTTTAAAGACTAAAATTTCAGTGAGAATACTAGCAAGTTTGATGTCTGAAGGCTTCAGACATTTTCCAGAATCAAAGAACAAATGAATGGTGATACTGCTGTAGAACTAGGTGATGGTGTGATTATGTCTTTTGTGGAAGTTTGCCTTTTTTTTATCATTTGAGGGAAAATGATTGGAAATGGACAGACACACTTGTACATTATCCTCTTCTTTTTTTTTTTTAAGATGCTGAGTCTCCTGACAATGGTTGAGGTTGGCAGCGTTGCTTTTCTGACTGTATCCACTCTGTCATTTATGCCAACAACATATTCCAGTGTGGTCACAGAGCCAACACATTCCACAGCCATGAATCTGACCCCAGAGGTTGTTGTGGTTTCCCTCGTTTCATTCCTGGACTTAGTGAGAGGGCAGACTTGACCGGAAATCTGGGACAACGTTTCTCAGGCCTTTTATCACCTGGCTTTCACTCGCTGGCCCTTTGGTCTCTTTGCTGATTTTTCATCATCCTGTCCTGGAGGGGCCGACAGAGCCTCCAGTTCCTAAATGAACCAGGATCAGCCATCATCCTGCTCCTCCTGGCAGCATCTGGGTGCTTTACAGACATCTCCTGTGCTCTGTACACACGCTCCACTATTCTCAATGTGTCCAAGGGGAGACGGGGCTCCGAGCTGGCAGGGACAGGCAGCTGCCACTTCCCAACGATGGCGGATGAAAGGCAGAGTCATCACTTGGGCTCCCAGGTGAGCCTCATGCTTCACTGTGCTGACATGATAATGAGACTCCAAGAGGCAAAGTGTAGTCAGCGAATGGCTCTTTTTGGCGAAGTATTTGAATTCCTATTTGTAAAAGTGCTGAAGCTTTCAGAATTTGTTCACATGAGAAATATACTTAAGGCTCCTGTCTACCATTTCTGGTGAGAATTTATCATCTAAGTTGGCGTATGTTATCTGTAAACTAGTTTTTTAAAAAGGCATTATGTGCAGGGTTATTTTCTAGCCTCTGAAATGACCTGTTGATAATTTTTAAGCTGAAATCAATACAATACATGCAATGAAGTAAAAATTCAACTATAGTAGGAACTCAATAGATATTTCTCTGGAAGGTTTAAACATCCCCTGCCTGAAATAGGTAAGAGAAACCTGGTTTCACAGATTGTACCATCTCTCTGTTAATGAATAATCTGTACACCAATAAGATAATAGAGGACAAATGTTAATGAGTATGTGGGGAAAAGGGAACATTTGTACACTGTTGGTTGGAAGGTAAACGGGTGCAGCCACTTTGGAAAACAGTATGGAGGTTCCTCAAAAAGTTAAAAAGTTAAAAGTTAAAAATGGAATATGATCCAACAATTCCACTTCTGGGTACATATCCAAAGGAATTGAAATTGGTGTCTCAAAGAGATACGTATATTCCCATGTTCATTGCCGCATTATTCATAATAGCCACGATATGGACACTATTTAAGTGTTGTCAGTAGATGAATGAATAAAGAAGGTGTGGTATATACTGGACATAAAATATTATTCAGCCATGAGAAAGGAAATCCTGTCTTTTATAAGAACATAGCTTGAGGACATTAAGCTAAATGAGATAAGCCAGACAGAAAGACAAATACTGTGTGATATCACTTACATGTGGAATCCAAAAATGCTGAACTCAGAGAAACAGGGAGTAGAGAGCGGTACTGCCAGGGGCTGGGCAGTAAGGGAATTGTGGAGGTGTTGGTCAAAAGGTACAGACTTCCAGTTATAGGATGAATAAGTCTGGGGAATGTCCCTGGTGGCCCAGTGGTGAATATTTTGCCTTCCAATGTAGGAGGTGTGGGTTTGACTCCAGTTGGGAAGCTAAGATCCCACATGCCTTGGGGCCAAAATACCAAAACATGAAACATGTAACAAATTCAGTAAAGACTCTTAAAAAGTGCTCTCCATCAAAAAAAAAAAAAAATCTTTAAAAAAGAAACACATTTGGGGATCCAATATGCAGCATTGGAAAAGACCCTGATGCTGGGAAAGATTGCAGGCAGGAGGAGGAGATGAGCAAACTCTGGAGAACAGTGAATGACATGGAAACATGGCATGCTGCAGTCTGTGGGGTCTCAGAGAGTTAGAAGTGACTTGGCCACTGACCAACAGCAAATGGACAGCATGGTGATTGTAGCTAATGTATTGTATACTTAAAAGTTGCTAAGAGAAGAAACTTTGAAGGTTCCCACTGCAAAAAAAGAAGTGGTAATTATGTGATGAGGTGGAGGTATTAGCTGACAGTATGGTGGTCATATTTGTCAGTATTAAAATGTATCAACACATTGTACAGTCTTAAACTTATACAATGTTATATGTAAATTGTATTTTTATTAAGCTGGAAAACAAGCAACATAATAAACCGTAAAATTATGTACAAAAAATTACAGCATTTCTTTCCTGGAGAGAAAATATATGATTCTTGTCAGAGGTGATAGAATGGGTATCTATTTGACTTGTTGATTTAAAAAAATTATGCGATACTTGCCATGACAACCTCTTGTAAAAACATTTCCCTCAAGGTTTAAGCACTTCTCTAGATGAACACAGTGGGTTACTGAGCTGACTCATAGGGAGGAGAGGTTACATTTTTGCTATTGTAATTATGTGGGAAATCGCACCCCACACCACTCACCAAGCTTAAATATTTCTCATCAACCTCAAATTCTGAGATTTACTTCACTGCGAGATCAGAGTTCTAAGATTTTTTCCCCTCAGTTATACTACTGAAGAGATTTAGGTAATGGGGACATGGTGGATAGAAACCAGGTTCATAGGAAAGTGAAAAATGCCGGGGTGGGGTGGAGGAGGGGTGATGGAGACAGACACTTCCTTTAGTCTGGAACTGATGTCTGGATCATAAACTGTTGTTCTAGGGAAACTTCTGGGTGTGAATAAGCCCCTGGAGCGGGACTCTCTTCCTCTGCGTGGCCCCTGTCTGCCCAGTCAGTGTAGAAAATGGTGTGACTGCGTTAGGGGACCCACTCAGCTACATATAGACAGAACAAACATCACCCTCTATGATGTAGGTCAGTGTTTGTCCCTCGTGATTGCCTGTTGGGATCTCCTGGGAGGGTTAAGAACTATCGGTGCCTAAGCCCCACTCTGAGAGGTTCTGATGGAGTAACACTGAGACACAGCCTGGGAAGAGTGATTTAAAAAAGATAAAAAAAACTCTCTGGGGGTAGCTGTTCTAATGCAGGCTGAGAACCACTGACCCAGGAAATAGACAGCTGTAATTTCTGTAAATTGCCCGAGTCAACAAGAAGCTGGCTAGCACAAGAGTTGACTTGAGTGGTTGCTAAATCTCTCTGCTGGGGGAATTTAGTTCCATTTCCCAGAAAGCTTATCCCTGGACCTGATCACGGGCTCTCTGTCTTGTCCATGTGGTTTGAATTTTCTAAGGGACTGTGGGTATCAGCAGTGTGAATGGACTGCTTTCATTCATCAGGCAAAATGTAAACGTCAGCTCTGCTCCAGCTATGGCCAGGCAGGGGAAGTGCTTACCTTTAAGCATCTGATGAGCGGCAGGGAGAGAAGAGCTCAGCCACACAGAATCTGGGGTGCTGGTGCTCCAAGGGAGGCCGAGGTGAAGCCAAGGGCTCGGAGGAAGGGGAGATGGTCACTCTGGCCTCCCCTGATTGGAGGGGCGGGAACTACCGTAGAATGCCCTCTGAAAGGGGCACACCGTATAGGTGATGGGCCTGGGAGGAGGAGGAAGGGGAGGAGAAAAAGGAGGAGGAGGAGGAGGGAGTCTTGAGCTGGAGGAGGAAGAAGGATGACCTTCTGGGTAGAAGGAATGAGGGAGAAATGGGAAAACTGGCAAGGAGACTGGTATGCGATTTGACCTCAGCCTGGAAGCATCCAGTCGACAGGGGCCTTTGTCAGGAAGATGGAGTTGAGGGAGGCATGGCGGGTCTGAAACAAGAGCAAAGGTTCTGGGCTTTATCCAGAGGAGTGGGGTGCCCTGCGGGGGTGGGGTTCGACTGCCAAGACCGGAGCAGCAGGCAAGTCGGGGCTTGCCTAGCATTATTTATCCAGCTAATCTGGATGCTCTAGAAGAGAAGTCTGTCTCGGTATAAACATCTCATTTGACAAAGTGAGGAAAAAGCCTGTTTAGGTCCCGCATGTCTGTTCTGCAGCCACAAGGTGGGTGGGTTTTGCATCAGGGTGGGTCAGACTTCTTGTCACTACCTTATCCATCTCTCCTTTTCTCTCCTTTTTTCTTCCTGAGGGAGAAATTGAAGAGCTTCCCACACATGTAATCTTGTCTCAAATAGTAACAGTGAAACTCTGAAAATAAAAAGATTCTCTGGTCATTAAGAGGTTTGATGGTTTGCACAGTATTTATTTCATTTTTGGTCATGTTGACTCTTACGTAAATATGGTAACTGCTTGTTTAAAATTTCTTTTCATAATACAATAATCACATTGAAAGGTCAGTCAGGTTTTTGCACAAATGGTCAACATGCTTCTGCCAGTGATGGTTCTGGATTAAATGTATTGCCTCTAAAAGTTCATCAATGTATTTTGAGAAGTTTTTTCATAAGAAAGTGTTGCTAGTCATTCTGTCTAAAAGGGGAGGAAAGAGAGGGAGTGATTTCCCTATAATTTAGATAACTTTGTCTAAGTCTGATTTTAAATTATCTCATAGGTAGAACAAATTGATTGTTACCAGAGGCAGGGGGTGGGGAGGAGAAAAATGGGTGAAGGGGTCAAAATGTACAGAGTTCCAGTTATAAAATAAACAAGTTCTAGGATGTCACATACAGCATAACGACCATAGTTAAGAATATTGCATATTTGAAAATTGCTAACAGATTAGATCTTATCACAGAAAAAGAAATTTGTAGCTGTGGGTAGCAATGGTTATTCACTACACTTGTGATCATTTTGTAATATATACAAATATTCAGTCATTTTGTTGTAGACCTGAAACTAACATAGGATGTCAATCATATTTCAATTTAAGAATATTTATTTGCATTATATTCGAGACATTGGAGAATTCCTCCCTCCCCACCCCCAACCCCCACACACAATCATCCTGAAAACTCTTGGGTCCACTTTTTCTCTTAGCAGAAGAAAGGGGTAAAATTACATTAGCCGACTTTCTATGCTTGTTCCTACTGTTTTCTCTATTACAAGGCTGATATTTTTCTAGATAAATTTGCATATCTATAGTTGATCAGTTTTGCTTCTTACTGTTCTCATGTATAATCCGTATACATATATGTATATAGTATAATTCATAATCCCATGGCAATAGGTGTTTGACCTAGTTTGAAAGAATCTGATCATAAAGGAGGGAGGAAAAAAATTAGTTTTTAAAGGTAAGGCTTATTTGCATATGAATCATAGCTATGTAACAAAGTCAGGAGGTAAAATATTGAAAGGTCTTAGTTTTAAATATTTGGGCAATGTTTTCCATATCTCCCTGTTTTCTCATCAAACCACATGTCCAGTTGGGGACTGGAAAGGCATCTTTACTCTATGCCTGAAATCATAACACCTGTCCCACTTGTCTTTTGGGACCAAAAATAACTGCACAAAGCACCTACTATGTGCCAGCCGCAGCAGTAAGCACTTTACTTCATGTCCACCATCCTGGCCAGGTGGGCGCTGTATCGCCCCGCGACTGACGGTAAACAGGCTGACGTAGCCCTGCTGGAGAGAGGAGAGCTGGAGGCACCTTGAGCCTCCCCTGTTTATGACTTTACACTGCTCATGGCATCCCCACCATGCACATTTGTGGCTTCATTCTCCTGTTGACATTGCAACAGGATGCTTTCACATGTTACTGTTGGTTACCTCCAACATCTCAGATCTTTAAACAGTTGTCCCTGTCTTACTTCAGTCACTTCTGCACTTATAGAGCCATCTTCCAGTCTCCATCCTGATATTCTTCTCGTGTGTTCCCTGCTTCTTTATTTCTTTAGGTGAGTCTTGCTGTGTTCCACAAAAGACTTGAAGCAGCTTGTTGCTTGTTGAAATGTTTGTCCAAGTCTGTATGGCCCCTTGGGGATGTGTATTGTGGGTTTCTCAGAAACACCGCTGTGTGCTGGGGCAGGTGGGTACAGCTGAGCAGAAAACACGCTGAGCACTTGAGTTTCCAGAGTTACTCTCATTTATTAAGACCTTGAAAAGGCGCTAAAACTGTTACCTCCTGGGAGTTTTTCATCACAGTCATGGTAAAGGATGTGTTTGGGAAGTATTAATATCATGAAAAGCAATACAGACACAATTCTTTCAAAATTGCTCCCAGGAAGTATACAGCTCAGTACCAAGGAAATGTTTATAAGAAGGTAATGGTAAAAGCTGTAATTTGGTGCTGCAGTTAGATTAGAACGTTCTTTCGGTAATTCAAGCATACCTCGCTAAAACATAAGCTCTTTATGACACTTCAAAGATATGCCTTTAACCACAGAGGCCTCTCAATGACTTCGTGTTGTCATGCCAAGCTGGGATATTCACTATGCAAACCAAGTTGCACTTTCTTTTTTTGTGTGGTACTTCTTTTTTTTTTTTAAAAAAAAAATGGGGTATAGTTGCTTTACAATGTTGTGTTGGTTTCTGCCGCACAAAGAAGTGAATCAGTTATATACGTATGTGCCTTCCCTCTTGGACCTCCCTCCCAGTCCTCTGGGTCATCACAGAGCACCAAGCTAAGCTCCCTGTGCAATACAGCAGCTTCCCACTGGCTATCTATTTTATACATGGTAGTGTGCACATGTCAAGGCTCCTCTCCCAGTTCGTCCCCCAGCTGTGTCCATGTGTCTGTTCTCTACTTCTCCATTTCTATTTCCATCCTGCAGATGGGTTCATCTGTATCGTTTTTCTAGATTCCATGTATATGCATTGATATATGTCATCGAGGTTTCTTCCCAGAAGCTAGTCTGATGTAGAGAAATTTAAAACAATAACCTCGCAATAGCAAAAAAAAATATTTTCTAATTTTCAACAGATTAAAGAATAGGCAACATAAGAGAAAAACAAATATTGCACTTCCTTTGATCTGCTGAAAATTAGAAAATAAATTTTGTGTAGTCAGTGGATTAATGTTCTACATCACTGCATCAGACTAACTTCTGGAAAGGAGACCCAATGACACAGTTGCACGATGTGATTGTGACTTTACCGAAGTGCAGGGTGTTGAGAGACACAGGCACACCTCGTACCAGGTGGCCCTCTTGACCTTGGCATAGGCAGAATCTGGAACATCTTAGCAGAAATTACATAATGAGAGCAGACCCAGAAATCTTGGCTGTAAACCACTCTCATGGTCGTGAACCATTCATAAGCCCCCTGTGGGGGCTCCTGTGGGAACTCGGGACCCGAAGCGCAGTCCTGAGGTGGCTCGATTGGGACACCCCTGCCCCAGGTCTCCGGGGTTTCATTTCATTCACCTTCACCTGCTTGGTTGGGCTCGTCTGCCTGCATCTCTGTCCGCAGGATTTAACGTGAAAACATTTTAGCATGGAGACTTGGACATGTGTGTTGTGTGAGTGTGGATGTTGTGTGTATGTGTGGGTGTTGTGTGTGTGTGGGGGGAGGGGTTGTGTTTGCTGTATGTTTTGTGTGTGTTGTATGAGTGTGTGACTGTTGTGTGTGTATTGTACATTGTGACCATTTTGTATATGTTGTGTGTGTGTTTTATGTGTATGTGGTATGTTGCGTGGCTGTTTTCTGTGTGTTTTGTCTGAGGGTGTGTTGTTTGTGTGTTGTGTTGTATATTTTGTGTGTGTTGTCCTTGTGGACATTGTGAGTATGTAGGTATTTGTTGCATGATGTTTGGTGTGTGTGTTGTGTATATTGTGTGAGTATGTAGGTATTGTTGCATGATGTTTGGTGTATGTTATGAATGTGTGTGTGTGTGTGTATTCTGTGTTTAATTGCATGTTGTGTGACTGTGTGCCGTGTGACTGTTCTGTATGTTGTGAACGTGTGTATATTTTCTGTGGCTTGTGTGGCCTTTGTGAGTGTTTTCCATGCTGTGCGTGTGAGCGTGCTGTGTGCATGCCCTGAGCCCGGCGCCCCTTCCCTGAGCGCGAGGTGCACAGCTGTGAGGTGGGGAAAAGCCCAGCTCCAGCCCTGTGAGGCCGGGGGCCCCGCTCCCCGCTGAGCCATCAGCCGCTGAGGACGTGACCTGCGCTGGGCTGCCCTTTCTGTCCTCTGCGTTCTTCCCAGGGAGGCAGCGCTGCGGTGAGCCCGTGCGGGGGCGCAGGGGGGTGAGCGCTGCGGAGCTGGACACGGCTTCGCTCTCAGGCCCAGACTCCTCGAGGCAGACACTTGTTCCAGCTTCACACCTCCCAGTCTGTGTGAGCCCCTTCCTTCGCACACTCACAGTTTACCGTCCGTCCACACCCTGCAGGATGTGGGCTCCACGGTGGGGGGTTTTCTGATTTGTTCTCGGATCCACCCTAGATCCCGAGCACACTGCCCGGCAGGTAGCATGAGCTCCAGGAACATTTACTGAATGAGCACGGGTCAGGATCGATAAGTTCCAGCATGTGAGGCCAGGTTAAGGTTTTCAGTCCGGTGTCGGAGGCGTTGCTATGGCTGCCATCGAGCCTGTTAGTATTCTCAGTAACTCCTGGGAAATGGCCTTTCAGAGCACCCCCCCCCCCCCCGCCCGCAGGCTCCCTCTGGTCCTCTCAGGTGGGTGCGCATCTGCAGGGGTTGTGGAGGGGGACCCCCGCTCACACACCCCGCAGGGATGTCCCGTTCTTCTGGGCCCGGTGGCAGCCTGTCCTGGGGTCCTTGTGGTCTCTGGTGCCCGGGTGTCTGCCGTGGTGTGACAGGTCTCATCAGGTGCGGGGCAAGAAGCCGCCTGGTGCCAACAGCCGTGGGCCTTCCTGTTGCCCCCCAGAGGTGAGGACCCGGACCCCAGCCTCCTGGTTCCAGAAATGCTTGGTGGCTTCTTCCACTCTGCTGGCGGGGGCTCCCTGGCTCTGTGCCTGCCCCCCACACCCAAATGCCCAGCTAGAAGCCAGGCCTCACTCTGAGCCCACCTCTCTGGGGGAACTTCCATCTCCCAGACCACCCCGGGGGAAGAGACCGCCAACCCAGTGACCACAGCTTTGCAGCCCCACTTCCAGACTTAACCGTCAGAGCTGGGCTCTCTTCCTCCCCTTCCTCTTTTTGCAGGCTCTTCCCACAGCCACTGGCCGTGTCCACCCCACCCTCGTCCAGCCCTGCTCACTCTCTGGTATGTGGGTCCCACTCTTCTTCCCTGATTCTTGAGAAGTAAAGACCAGTTTGAAGAGTTGCAAATAATTCCTTTTTGCCTCTTGACAAAGTCTGGAGTCTTTCCAACCACATTTGAAGATACATCTTGCAATAGATGATGTCATAGTTACTTGTCAGCATTTTTTTTTCCCCTTTCCTATTGCACATATCACAATTAGGGACATTTTAGCCTAGGCTATAGCCTGGCCATGGCCTTTAAACTCTACTGCGAAGTTCAAAGACAGCAATACCTTCTTTGTTCCAGCCTTTGTCTTCCTTTCCTTAAGGTAATGGGTGCCTCTCATTCAAAGGTAGGAAGCTGCCAGGCCACCAGAAACAATGAAAGAGTATAGTTGTTTAATACAACCCTACCTCAGGTATAGCCCCACTATTGAGGCAGGGGAAGGTTAGCTGATGATGCAGAGGAACACTGCAGAGTGGCCATCCTCATAGATTTGGAGGATGACAACTGGGAGCATCCCCTGGAGGCTCTTTCTTAGTTACTCCCCAGCTATCTGGAAGGATCAGTGCATGTTTTTTAGCAGGTGCTGTCTTCTGTCTGCCAAACAACTTGGTAGGAAAACCATACTTAGAGCATTTTCTCTTACAACTTCTTGTATCATCTCTGCATGAAGGATAATTTTTTAAAAAATATGGACCATTTTTAAAATCTTTAAAAAGTTATTTTTATCTTTTTTTAAACACTAAAAGCATTTTGTATTAGGATATAGCTGGTTAACAATATTGTGATAGTTCCAGTTGAACGGTGAAGGGACTCAGCCATATATATACATGTATCTGTTCTTCCCCAAACCCTCCTCCCATCCAGGCTGGAGCATAACATTGAGCAGAGTTCCATGCGCTATACAATAGGTTTTTGTTGGTTATCTATTTTAAATATAGCAATGTGTACATGGCCTTCCCAAAGTCCTTAACTATCCCTTCTCCCTGGCAACCATGAGTTCATTTTCTATTTGTGAGTTTCTTTATTTTGTAAGTAAGTTCATTTATATCATTTCTTTTTAGATTCTGCATATAAGGGATGTCATATATTTCTCCTTCTCTGGCTTACTTCACTCAGTATGACTCTCTCTAGCTCCATCCATGTGGCTGCAAATGGCCTTACTTCATTGCTTTAAATGGCTGAGTAATATTCCATTGTATACATGTACCATGATGTGGACCATTTTTAAAAAGTGCCTCTGTTTTATGTTTTGACTTTTTGGCCTCGAGGCATGTGGGATCTTAGTGTCCCAACCAGGGATCTTTGCCTGCATTGGAAGGCAAAGTCTCAACTCCTCGACCACCAGGGAGGTCCCACTGAAGAATAATTCTTAGGTGGGGTTTTGTCTGGCACAAACAGTATCTCCATCTTCCTTGGTCATAGGGCTTGGTAACCTTATTTTTGTTTCTTGGAGTGAGAACTTCCCCAGGAAGTAAAGGGAAGGATTTCTGATGTGTGTTGAGAGCAGTCACAAAGATGGGCTCAGAATTAAGTCACATTTCGCAGCCAGAGTGTACACTGGTATACGGGTGAGGGGCGGGAGTCAGGAAGATGTTTACAAAGGAGAGCTAAATATGAAGTGCTTCCAGCCCCACTGTGGAACTTATTGCTCAGCCAAGTCAGCCAGTGTGGTTTTGTCAAGACCTTCTTGTGGTCTTGACTGTAAAATATCAAGGCAGAGTTGACACGCATAAAAACAAGTTCTAAAAAGAATGCTCACTTTCTCTGTGCTTTAAAAGGAAAGCTGAGCAAAGCTGAGAGGGTCTCCTGGGGGCCCGGCCATGGAAAAAAAAAAAAAGAGAGAAACCTGTGATGCTTGAGATGGTCTAAGACTTGGCATTTGAAGTAGTTCTGCTGGAAGATTTATTACTGGATAAGTCACACATTTTGAATGAGAAATGGAATCAAGTCAAGGGTTGAACAAGCAGACAAGGACAAGCCAAAGAAAACAGTGCTTTCTTCTCCAACTAGTGGGTTTGTTCTAAGGGACTAGTTAAGAGCTCTATAACCATTTTTTAAAATTGAAGAATAGTTAGTTTACCATGTGTGAGTTTCTGTCGTACAGCACAGTGATTCAGTAGTACATGTTGTTGCTCAGTCGCTAAGTCCTGCCTGACTCTTTGCAACCCCATGGACTGCAGCACACCAGGCTTCCCTGGCGCTCAGCATCTCCAGGTGTCTGCCCAAGTTCATGTCCGTTGAGTAGGCGATGCCACGTTAGAAGAAAAAAGAAAAAGATCCTGCAGGATGCAATGAAGTTCCGCTGCGCTGTGACGAAGACCCAGCACAGCCACATAAACAACAACAACAACAACCCCCCCCCCCAAAAGCCCTTGTAAAAAAACATCCAGATTCCCAGGCACTCCCTGTAGAGTCTGCTCAGGAGACAGGACTATGGGAGGTCCAGGAGACTCTGGCGCACAGCCAGGCATGGGGCCCTCTGGGTCTACGCTGGGTTTGAAGGCGCTGCCTTCAGTGAATAGTGTCAACAGAGTCAATTCTCTTCTCAGCCCACTTGTGAGCCCAGGAGGCAAAGCCAGGGTTGGGAGAGCTGGTCTGAGCTCCTGCACACATCCTTCCTTTGGGCCTTTGCCTGCAGCAGCCCTGGAATTGGCTGACTGCTGATTCAAACATCAAGTTTCTGTCCTCTTCTCATTTCCCCACTGGGTCAAGGCCGAGAAACACTGTGCTCCATCCTGTGAGTCCCATTGGCCGAGTCAGGTCAGGTCTCCATCTGCCTTCAGAAGGATCGAGTGTAGGAAAGTGTTAGTCGCTCAGTCATGTCTGACTCTTTGGAACCCCATGGACTGTAGTGTCCATGGAATTCTCCAGGCAATAATACTGAAGTGCCATTTCCTTCCCTAGGGGGTCTTCCCAACCCAGGGATGGAACCCGATTCTCTCACATTGCAGGCAGATCCTTTACCCTCTGAGACACCAGGGAAGCCCTCCCAGTATAGGAAAGTTGTTCTCAAACTCAAGGCCTGCGTGTTCATGAACAGTGCATGGTGAGATGAAACCAAGGCAGCTGACGATTCCTCTCAAGGGCTGTGACAAAGAGTTGGGTAAGAAGTAAAAGTATTATCCAACAGGGACCCACTGCCCATCACAGGAACCTGCTGAGTGTTATGTGGCAGCCTGGCTGGGAGGGGAGTTTGGGGGAGAATGGATGCTTGTATATGCATGGCTGAGTCCCTTTGCTGTCCACCTGAAACCATCACAACATTGTTAATCGCCTATACTCCAATACAAAATAAAAAGATAAAAAGATGTTAGTCGCTCAGTCATGTCCGACTCTCCATGACTCCATGGACTGTAGCCAGCCAGGCTCCTCTGTCCATGGGATTCTCCAGGCAAGAATACTGGAGCGGGCTGCCATTCCCTTCTCCAGGGGATCTTCCCAACCCCAGATCAAACCCGAGTCTCCCACATGGCAAGCATATTCTTTGATATCTGAGCCACCAGGAAAGCCCCTGAAAGAAGATAAAGTATTATTCAATGGAAAGGGGGAAAAAAAAAAACCCTGAAATCAAGTAAAAGAACTTTCAGTGTACAGAATTCAGTGATATTCATTTTTCATGATGTACATCTACCACATATCAGACTTTCTTCTAGATAATGATAATGTGATGGTGAATAAGACAAACCACATTCTTATCCTCCTGGGGCACACATGCTAGTAGAAACAGATGGTGAATAGACAAGATCATGAAGGACTGTGTGCAGTAAGTGAGGTGCTGACACACGCTCTGAAGCGCCAGGAGAGACTTCAGTAGAGTGGGAATGTGTGTGCATGTGCACCTGACGTCTCAGCTTGAGATGCTTATTTGGCAATGAGGAGGGAATTTCTTTGGCAGAGGCAATTGGGAGTTTAGTTGTGTAGGAAGGACGGGAAAGAGAGATTGCAGTTGTTCAGACAGGAAGTGATTCAAATTTGGCTAAAGCTTTTTAACAATGAAAAATGAAGAGAAACAGAACCACTTCAGTGTGGCAGTACTTACATTTCAGAGTTTGCGTAAGGAAGCTTGAGAAACTTCTGGTTGCCAACCACCCTTTTGTTTCCTTGAAGCCGTTCAAGTCTTTGAGTACTGTTTAGATTTCGGTTCCTGAGAGGCCTTTGTGGTGTTGACTATATTTAGTGTCCTATCACCTGAGACCAAGCGATTTGTACCTTTCATCTCTGATTACTCTAGACTGGAGTATTTGTGCAGATAATCCCTGCTTTTTAGCTGTGGTTTTGGTTGGTGTTTTGGAATGAGAAGCTTATTGGCTGTTGTATACACTAGTGTATCTACCCTTTTAGTCAGAAATACTAATCCACTCGTTGCCAGAAATATCCCTATTCCAAAATGAGATCACATTAGGGGTTTATGGCTCTACAGCTTCAGTAATATTTGCCTCTCTGTGTAGTATTATTCGGAAAAGGCAATGGCAACCCACTCCAGTACTATTCAGTTAAAAATATTCTCAGGTACATCCATTATCTGTAAGTTTCTCAGTTACCCTGTGAAGTTTCTCTGTTAACAGGGCAGGAATGTCATACCCTTCCATAGATTCACAGAGCCTGAGTGGGTTGTTGTTTCATCACTAAGTCATGTCTGACTCTTTCCGACCCCATGTAGCCCTCCAGGCTCCTCTGTCCATGGGATTCTCCAGGCAAGAATACTGGAGTAAGCAGTCATGCCCTTCCCAGGGGATCTTCCCAATGCAGGGATTGAATTCGGGTCTCTGGCATTGCAGGCAGATTCTTTACCGGCTGAGCCACCAGGGAAGCATCTTTACTCCCGCCACGCAAATAGGCTCATCTGTACCATTTTTCTAGATTCTCCATACATGTGTTAATATGCGATGTTTGTTGTTCTCTTTCGGACTTCCTTCCTTCCCTCTGTACGACAGACTCTGAAAGGATGTTCTATGAAAGCATCTAACTCATTGTCAGACACGTGTATGTCCTGATGTTTGTGTGTCCTTCCTGTA